AGGTGGAAGCTGGGCAAGCGCGGCATACGCCATACTCTGGGGAACGACGACGGCGCCGACGGTGACACCTAGTAGACCAAGATTAGACACATTGGACTTTTGAAACGATCGTGACATGATATCGAAAAGGTAAGCGGACAAACTCACCAGCAATCAAATCACCAATGAACCACGTAAAGTTGTATTTGCCAATCCAAGAGAGAAAGGGAAACAGGCGGTAAAAGTACTGTCCGACATCATGAAGCGACGGCGTAATCTCCTCGAGAAATTCTTGAACGGTCGGCTCTCTCTCGATGAAGGGATCTGCGTTGGATATCGAGGGGATGTCGCTGTCGCGATCTTCCGTTGCGAAGCCAAGGGCCTTGGCAACGCGCTCCTTGGCTGCTGTAGCCATGGCTCTGGGTACAAATGATATTGATGGCGAGGAGGAGGACGGAGGGGAGGAGAGGAGAGAAAGATACGAAGGGGGGCTGAAGTATAGCAAAACTTTCTGATACCGCCGCCGCCTCTTGTTACGAGGTATCGATTCCCAACGGTCAGCACCGCCGGTCTAGTTCCTGTCTGTGTCACCCAGAGGGCTTCGGAGACGGAGCTATTCAAATCGTAACGTTGCCCTTGCTGCTGAAGGAAACGGAAGATGATGGACCACCTCCTTCAGAGTTGCAGCAGAAGAGAAGAAGAAGAAGAAGAAGAAAAAGAAGAGAGAGTTGGGGAGAGATATGCGGATGCAGATACGGGTGGAGAGACGGCCAAACCAACTTTATTTATGTAGCATCCCAGATGGAATATTGGGTTGCGCCGAGCCTGGTACAGGTACAAGTACAGGTACAGGGACAGGGACTATCACGCGTAAGGATAAGGATGAACATTGCATCCATGCCATGTGCCGTATCCGCCTCTAGGATCAGCCTCTTTTTTTCGTTCATCCTCTTACTCTTACATGCTGGTGATGTGATTCCAACTTCTGGGGCTGATTGTAACTAGCAAGTCCCTCCCCCAGCTGTGGACACCAGAGCGGGTACCGATATGATACATGCGACGCCTCGGAGAAGACTAACACGAATGAATCAAAATCTCCATGCAAAATAGCACCCATTACAAAGTCCCCCATTGATACTGTTGCACCCATATTATCACGCAAAAGGCACCCAATTAGGACCCTCGAAGAACGGAGCTATCGAGAGAGAAAAAAAAAAGAAAAATCTGGCACCGCCTGGCACAGCTGGTGGTGCCGCGGGTCTTGTGGCCCAGAGATGGGCAACCTCGAAGCTTTGTCTAGAGAGCCACCGGATTGCGTGCTTCTGGCTAAGTATTCGCTTGCAGCTAAAAGGCCCCCCCCTGGAGACACAGGACGGCTAGCCTAGCCACGGCTCCTCTTTTCTTCTTCTTTTCTTTTTCTGTAATTGAGCGGGTGAGACCGGGGGTTGGACGAGGTAGCGGGCTCATAGTCGATTGGTGGGAGAGGTACATGTACTTGGATGATGAAATGTTGTCTGGATTGCGTCAACTGATGGACACCGAAAACTCTGAACCCAATTCTCGGTGATGTTCCTTTGAGAGTATCGGTTGTTCTGGCTCTGGGTATTGTGTGTGTTTGCTTGCTTGCTTGATCCGGGAGGCTGGATGATGGCGTCTTGGTGCAGATGATGGGTGCAGTGTTACAGTAAAACCTGTGCTCAACTGTCTTGCATGACTTGTCTCATTCGCAAAGGAACTATCGCCATCCATCACTCGCAAAAGCACCATCTACCCGAACAACTCCACACTCCACGCAATGCGACAATCCCTGTCTCCCATGTCATCTTTCGGGCTGACACACCTCTTTGGGGGGGCTTTGTCTGGACCCCATGCCGGCGACCCGAAGCTCGCCATGATGTGCCTGAGTTCATACGAGGAGCTTGAGATTTCTTCGCCCACAAGAACCTCATCTCTGCGACATCTCGCTGCTGAGTCGTGTTCATCATGAACCAGGCTGGACAGGGCCTCCCACTGTATCACCGCATCTCACAGAGCACAGAACCACACGTCTCTCACAAATCGTGCTTTTGCCCCGTCGTACACAAGCTGCTCTCTGCCTGCTTGTACATGGCGTCCCAAGAGATCTAGACAACGTCCGGACCATCGCCGCCTAATTCGATTTAAGCTACGACACTAAGGGCACTTGCTGGAGGAGGATCCAAATCGACCAGGCGCCGGGTAGGCGTATTATTCCGTGCTCCGCGTCCTATGGATGGATGTACTACGACCATGCCATGTACAAGCATGGAGACGGCTGGGGGAGGCCGGTGCGTTGTGCAAATCCCTCCCAAATCCTCCGCCATCTCCGCCCCGTGTCCAAAGAGAAAAGGACAGAACCAAAATGCCCCCCCGTCGAGAACTTCATCTTTTGCCTGCCTGACGAACCGGCTGGACCTGTCAGCAACTTCCATCTCACGGCAGACGACTCACGCCCACTTCGAATATACACCCCCGTCTTGTGACATCTGGCCGTTCCTTAGCTGCATGCTTTGGGCTTGCCCTCAGCCGCCATTTCAGCAGTTTTGCTTCACACGTCCACGCCAAGTTTTTCCATCACAAGGATGCAGAAACCACGTCCACGTCGCACAGCTCGATGGGACATGGGCATCCCTGAACCGCCCTGACATTGGCTCCGAAAGTTGAAAGGGTCCCCCATTATGGAGCCTCGGGTGGTCGCCCTTTTTGGAGCGACTTCCAGCACTTCCAAAAACGTTGTAATAGCGCAGATGGCGCAATCTTCCCATGTACACTCGTTATATGCCCGCCTCTTGATTACGCACCCAAAGTACATTGCAGCTCGCTGGTAGCTGAGGCATGGGGGGGCCTTAGCAAGGCTCTGGTCGCCGACAAGAGAGAGTCTGGGCCATTGTTGGGAGTGTGTTCAAAGGGCCATGACCGATCAATAATTATTGCGCCTTGAGCGTTTAATATTGGTCATCTGGATGCTAGCACTTGGGTCTATTCTGTGCTTGCCGCCAGTGACGTGCCTTGTATACAGCTCGGTGGCACTTGGAGAGCACTCCTTGCTGGAGAGGCGCATGAGGAGCCTGGCCGAGAGGCCATGGCCGTCGAACCAACGGGCGATCGGGGAGCTATCCATGACGACGGCGGCCGCCTCATGCGAGCTAAGAGGATGTCGGATAGTAGCAGCAATGCATGCTCAAACTCAGCTGCTGTACGCAAGGCGTCGACGAACCGAATCCATGGGGGAGACAGCCAACCTGCTCCCTCGACTCGTGCCGTGGTGGGCTATCTATCCGGCTACGCCGACACTGAGACACACTCAGCTTTACATTACTCAGAAGCAATATCTGGAAACTGACATTATTCTCCACCAAGTTTGTCGTTATGAATGGCATAACTCGCCCTCTCAGAAGCTGAATGAGCATCCCGGCCGTCACTGCAGCCTAAAGAGGCATCGAGTCGCCTGGCTGGATGTGCTCTATATCCTGGCTCAACCTACAAGCCTGTCACAAGCCTCTATCCCTAGCATTAGACTGTTTGTTGGCGCGCGAGACAATTCAGGTATTGTCTCTAGCTTCTCCCTGTGGCGAGGTTGGGCACGCCTGCGATGCTCCTTGGCTGAAAGAGAGGTGAAGCTGAAGCAATAGCCTAGGCCATTCACTCTTCTCCTGGTATGCAAAGCGTACTAGTCTTTCAGCAAGCCTCTTCAGCTGAATCCTATTCAATCCCGTCTTTCACATGCCGTGCTGGGGACGATGATCATCTCCATCACTCCCCCCCTTTTTTGCTTTGAGTTGCCTCTATCAAGCACACGGCATATCATTTCATGACACCATGGCGCCATCGGAAGGCGCCATTCTTCTCATTACATGTCGCATTATACATCCATGCCTACTACGAAGTAGTCCGTGGGGTCCAATGCCGGATTTCCAGCCGTATCATCTTAAGTGAAAAAAAGAAGATGTGTGATATCAAGAAATGTCAAGCCACGCAGCAGGCTTAGGTTGACGCCGCTACTACTAGCCTCTCTCCATAGGTTATCCCCTTGTCGACTGGAGGTTGGTAGTGATGCAAGTCCATTTCCCAGGTTTCTCCACAGGGATTCAAGAATTTCTCCCACGGCAAGAGATTGGGCCCCCGGACGAAAGCTGAGGCTTGCTTGGTCTAGACTCTATTATACAGAGACTGGCGTGCGTCTAGATGGAGAGGATTGTTGAGTTGGCACGTGAGCTAGTGTAGACTGAGTTTGATTCGGTGATCGTTGAATGAAGTTAATGTGAATCAAGTGTAATTTGATTACACGAGGCCTGTCAAATTAGCTTTGCCAAGAATCTCAAATAGTCACTACGTAGAACGGGATCAAGGTAAAGAAAGATAGGGGCGGGACTGGGAGATGTCCCGGTTCGGCCTGATTTTTGTGCAAGTTGAGAATGAAATCTCTTTTCAAGTTGACGTAAACGTGCTGCTAAAACATGTCACCATATACACAGCGCGGGAAAGGGGAGCGTAAATAGACTCAACAGCAGCGAGTCCATCGAAAGAATGCAATTAGTCTTGTCACTATACCTCATGCTACAGATATTTAGGACGGATTCAATTTCGTCATGTGCTACTGGGAACAAAACTTGATCCATGTCATCTCCAGAGTCTGATGAATCTGGATGACCCATGTTGACACCAGCAAGGGACAACCCAATACGATGACATCCCTTTGCATCCAGACGTAGTACTGGCCGATAAGTGGATTATCAGCACTCCAAAGACTACCGAGTATGCTTATAAAGTATTCGTCAGGCTATCTAGGGTAGTGTGCTCAGTTTTTGCAGCTACAAGATTCTCGCTTTGTTGTTGTCTCGCAGTATGAAAGCTGATATATAATCCCGTGGTTTCTTCGTGAAAGATGAGAAGACATATATATAATATTATTGATGTAAATAGCTAAAGTATTTATAGTATCTTCCTATCATAGTAAGATGCTAGATAGCCATATTACATACTTGACCCTGAACCTTTACTTCTTAGAGAATTTTACCTTTTGCCAGGGATCGTTGGACAAGGTCATCGACAACCTTCTGTGCCCTTTCATCGCTTGGCAGCGGGAGTCCCAATTTCCCGTTATTTGGGTTCGTCCACGCAGTCAGGCCGCCGGTAAAAGGGTACGTCAGTACACCCGTGAACTCTTTCCAAGTGTATATGCCATTTCGCATGTTCTCATCTGCAGCCCTCTTCCTCTCGGCGATGGAGAACGATGTAATCTCCCAAGGTTCCTTGGACTCGGAAGCGTCCTGGAAGCTTTGTACAATCTTCTGCAAGGTTGTTTCGCCGTCGCAGATGTAAAAGAAGCCGTTCTTGACCTTTGGGTACTTTGTCAACAGGCTGTCTAGCCCTTTGGTCAGTGTGTCGAGGCTGGATACGGAGATGAGGTTGTGACCACCGTCACCGACTGAGGCGGTGCGTTTGTTTAGATCCATTGGTGCAAAGGGGGTAACGCCTGAGACCAAGGTGATTAATAGAAAGCATCTCAACAGCGTTTAGGCCTCGGTGACTTACTTAACAGCAGATTACCGACGTGCAGGGTTACAAAGTCAATCTTGCCTTCAGCAGATCTGGCCAACAGGTAGTTGTGTACGACCCTCTTTGCCGCAATGGCTGCACTAGGAGGCAGAGTGTTGGGGCCCATTCTCGCATCCGTCGCCGCATATGCACCTGCAGTATCAGGTGCCCATTCTGATGGGACAAAGAGCTTCACGCCAGCCTCAATGGCTGCGTTGATGAGGGCGATCTGGACAATGTCGAGATTCCCCCCTGGACCGAATTGCGTGAATACGACGACGGCATCAGCGCCAGTCAATGTCTTGACCAGATCTTTGTGATCTGTTAAATTGACTTGCACAATAGGGATCCCCTTTGGTACGTTTTTATATTCGGAAGGGTCTTTGCGTCCGATGAAAGTAATGTCATACTTGTTGATCGCGGCAACGCGCTGCAATATTTGACCGCCAAGCCGGGCTCCCTACTGAAGAGTCAGTCGTGATCTTGCTGAGTCCAAGCAGTTGCGGGCCTATTACTCACTCCATACCACACAACTTTTTTTATAATGCCCTCAGATGCCATGGTTGGATGATAATACTGTCAAATAGGTGACTTTGTTTCTACAGAGCAAACAGTCGCTTTTCGATCCAGACAACGCTGGTCTTAAATCCCCCAATACATCAACAATAGCGGTGACGCGCCTTGAATGATTATTATTTCCCACAGTTCCCGTACGGTATGTTGTTGCATCCCACCGGCTCTATCCCAAGGACTCATTCATCGATGCCGAATCTACAGGGCATCTGCCGAGTGATAAACCTCCCGTTACTGAGTGACGATTATTAATCGCCGGGCTTCTAAGAGATGCGTTGGGGTTCAACAAGAACGCCAACTATGGTTAAAGATGAATCATATATGGAAGAAAGGTATTCAACAGGCAACAGGACATCCAACGGAGACTTTCAGTAACAAGGAGCACTTTCCAATACGGGATGAGGACTTAGTAATCTGAGTTGCTTGATAATGAACCTAGGCAAAGATTACTGATCTCGGCGAGAGTAGTTGTCAAAGGCCACGCGGAAATGGGCGGCAAGGGCCGTGTCTTTGCATGATCTGGAATTAGGCTTACACCTTCTTGATCGATCTGGGCGATCTCAGTGAATTACAAATTAGGCAGTTGATGGAGCAGGAGAGAAAATGAAGATGCGGCTTGGTGAATGGCGTCGATCTACGGATAAGATGAGCATAAAGAACCCGTTGCCTGAATCTCAATACTGAAATATCTTGTACCATTTGTTTATCAAATCTTTCGCTGATAACTAAGTAATCATGATTATCTCTTTCCCCATATCGTTCTTGTGCTCGGTCGGTCGTTCTCTCGTCTGATATCTAGAAGCAAAGTTGTAGTTGGCAACGGCAGGGAAGTTGAATGAAACAAGCGTGGCAGTCACTTCCACAGCTTTGAGGCGTTGATTAAGCTGGACGGGATGTTACACAACCGTGTCAGAAATTCGTTCGTATCGCCATGAGGTCAACGCTTTTCTGTGGAACTTTGGAGTCGCATCACAATCAGAAATACGATGTCTTGTGTATTTGGGGAATTGCCGCTTATATATCCTACGGCCTTGACTTCATGTAGCCAAAGCCCTTTGACTCCGGGCGAACCTAAACCCACTTACACCTACTGAATCTCGATTGTGTGTGCATCAAGGGCTGACCAGCTCCATAGTAGTAGTTCTCACCTTGGCATCACTCTAACGTGCGCCAATGGGTAAGCTGATTCGCTCCAATTTGTTTCTTCCCCACGCCACCGAAGTTGTCCGTCGCCCCGCTGTTGATCACGACATCTCTTGGTTGCCGTCGTCATTCTGCCTCTGCGACGTTAGAGCACTGAAAAGAGGAATAAAAAGAGAAATAAAAGCTTGGAGACCCTCACTATGTGATTCAACTGGGAGAGTGTGGTGTGATGCCGCTATATTTGTTCATCAGCCACACGCACTCTCGGTGGCCATCTATCTGTTCGTACTCATACATAACCAAATGATTGCGACGTACTTGAGCTGTATGCGAAGTTCGCTTATCCGGGTCATACGGACTAGAGTCTCTCTTCAGAAAGTCGATTCAGCCAATCATGAGCCCGTCCAGCTCGAGAAGACATGAATATTTCATGGGCTCACTCTCTCACTGATGATGACAAACCACTCGTGGCTGAGTGAAGTTTGCAGAATGGCCCACGACGTGCTCCTCTGGGATGTCCAACGGGTTACCACTCTGCGGAAGATACTTTATCGGCGGCCAGCACTAGTTTGCTTGTAGCTTGCAAAACATGTAAGCGGAACGGCTCTGTGTGCCAGACTAGTTATGCAGAGTCACGCTTCGCCTTGGATAAATATACCGCTGAGAGCTGGAGATCGTCTCGCAAAAGCAACCTAGCTCCCATCACGCAATTTACAAGGTTAGGACGGTCTCCCACCACTGCTGATGGTTGTTGAATTTTGATCACAGGATCACGGCTTTATTATTAAACATAACACGCATATCATGGCCGTGGCATCATCCAAAACGATTGTGACGATTGCAGGGGCTGCCGCCATTACATCGTTTCCGGCCGCCACGTACGGGAGAGTTGTACCTTATTCGCAACGACAGCTGCTTCTCCATGACCCTCGACAGCCGTATAAGCTCCACACAGATGGAGAGATCCCTGAACTCAGATTCGGAGATTTATTAGTTGAGGTGCATGGCATTGGCTTGAATCCAATTGACTGGAAAGCAGCGTGCGTATTCCCCCGCAGAAGGACCACCACTGCTCGTCGCTTTCAGGACTTACTAACAGACTTGTCGTAGAGATTTTGGACTTGTGCTTCCATCACCGCCTTGTATGAATGGACGTGAGTTTATAGGCAAGATTATAGCCTCAGAAGTCGACCAGAGATGCAGCCTCCAGCCGGGAGAGTGGGTGAGTCTCTGAACACTTGTGTTGCCACAGTACCTTTACAGCTGGCTGACATTGTCCAAGGTCCTGGCTGTATCTACAGATTATCGTGACTTTAGAAAATCCGCTTTTCAAGAGTATGCCATTGTCTGCTGCTACAATGCCATCCGGATTCCCAAACACGTCGACCCGTTTAAAGTCGCCCCCATGGGCGTTGCCTTTGTCGCAGCAGGTCTCTCTCTTGGAGTTTGCCTAGGTGTAACCTTTACGAAGGGTCCCAAAAAGCGAGAGTTTAATCTTCTTGAGAATGCGAGATGGTGCCCAGAAGATGTGCCTGACGATGTCGCGGAGGAGGTCTTTGATGCCCTGGCGCCTTGCTATCAAGCTCAGCCCGGCGAATGGCTATTAGTCTATGGAGGTGAGAGACACTGCTTCCGATGGGAGTGGGATAGAGAGGACCTGGCATGGAGCACTGACTTTGTCTTTTCGAAGCATCTACCGTTACTGCACAGATCGTCATTCAGTTGGCGAAAATAGGAGGCTTGAAAGTAGCAGGCGTTGCTGATCTCGGCAAACATCGGCAACTCCTACAGTCTCTCGGAACTGGTGCGTTTTGATGAAGGATATTGATAAAGCCATTGCTTACCACAGTCTGTAGATGTTTTAATTGATCGTAGCGACCTCGACCAAGCCAAGCGCGATATCAAACGGCTCATCCCTGGCTCACTAAGATTCGCCATCGACACAGTTGGACCAGAAACTGCAGCATGGTGCCAACAAGTTCTTGCGGAACGCACAAGCTCTCGATACTGTTCCCCAGGAAAAGAGACGCCGACAAATCCGCCACCCGTTGATCCAGCTACGAGAGGGGGTGGCAGCAAACTGAGTCACCTCGTTGCCATGACAGGCCGTCCTGAAAAGCTCAATCCCAACGTCCAGGTGCATACGGTACCTATCAAGCTCTTCCACACAAGCCAATACGTCGGTGGCCACTTGAGTAAATGGCTATACGAACTTCTTGATACCAACAAGCTACGGCCTCCAGAGGTTGAGTTTGTACCAGGTGGACTTGACGCCATTAACGGTGCGTTGGAAAGACTAAGACAGGGTAAAACCTCAGGGAAGAGGATAGTGGTTCGTATGAAGGAACCCGAGACGAAGATTGAACTTTTTCCTTAGATACCATTGTTGCGCTGAGTTAGTTGACCTAGAGCCGTTTGCATGTTCTGTCTCTGTTACTTTGTTGAGGCATATTCGACGCATATAGCATGAGAGCATCGTAAGTGAATAACATAAATTATTTGCTTCGAGATGAAAGAAGGGTTTTTTTTCGGTATATAAACTGGTATCTCTTGCAGCCGCTCGATATAGGCCGTTTATGATGAGAACACAATACAACTTGACATACCAAAAGCTCCCTTTACCTTGATTTGGCGATATTCTCGCTCTGACGTTCATCTCACTAGCTGTCGCTTGTCAAAATTAAATGACCAAGTTTGTGATAGGAGAAAATGGTGGACAGAGAAGTAATACAGAGAGACCAAGGAGCAGCCAAAGTATCTTCAGCTTTACAGTATTATTTAATCTTTTAATACTTGTCAATGATTCTCAACCAAATCTATCGTGGCAAACTCCATGGGTATCAGACGATGTGCTGCCCGAATAGTCAATGCGCATAATACTCTCCATCATAAAGCAACTCGTAAAACCCAAGCCGTCTATCTACGCTTGAGGTAGATGTTCAATGGTCTCCTCTCCCATGCCATAAACGTGCGTTGCGCGCTATGCCAATTCTCCTGGCCGGGAACCAGTTCCACGTCGAAACGGTACAGCATTCGCGAAAGAATTAACCGCATTTCCGAGTAAGCAAGATTCTTACCGACACAGTCTCTCGGACCGTAGCTGAAAGGCTTGAATACCGCGCGATTGTCATTGTTGAACTTGGTATCGTAGAAAGGATGTGACTTGGGCAGCCATCGCTCAGGGTTGTAGGAGTCGGGCTCGGCGAAATGTTCGGGATTGTGGTAAGTGACTTCTTGGAATACCGTAATTGCAGTCTAGTGTAGTATGGTAAGTTCGCTGTTCTATCTGGTAATCATGTACTCAACTCACTCCTCTAGGAACATATTTCCCATCAATGGAGTCTCCAGGACAGACTCGTGGGGGAGTCTCGTTGATGGGAGGGTACACGCGGAGCGCCTCCTCAATGCAAGCATGAAGGTACTCCAGCTTCTGCGTGGATGTGATTGTAATGCTCTCTACATCATCAAAAGCCGAGCGGATTTCCTCGGCCAACCTCTTATACGCAGTCGGGGTTATGCCAATGTAGAAAATAAGAGCCGACATGGCAGCAGCAGTTGTTTCTGCGCCCGCTCCGATAAGGATAGTAGCTGAAGCTAGGAGTCCCAAGCCAGCAAAACTTGATTCCCCGTCGTGGCTCTTCTTGAGCATGTAGGATGTAAAGTCTCGGTAGCCTTCAATGGCGTAATCGCCCAAATTGATGCGCTCCATCGTCCTTTCAACAGAGTCATTCTTGTCTTTCTCATTGTTGTTGATGTCTTGAATCAGGCGAAGTCCTTTAACAATTTCGAAGGCAAAGGGAACTTGAGAAAGAAAATGAGCGTAGGATCTGCCTCGAAATCCTCTGAAAAACTCCGATATCCAAGGATGAGAGCCGTTCTCAAGGCAGTTGAATGGCTTTGAGTGAGTGAGATGGCCAATAACGTCAAACGTGGTGAAGTTGAACCAGTCGTTGACATCAAAGATTTTCCCAGCATCGGACTTTTCAGTGAAGCGTTCCATGAGAAGATCTACATATCTCTGTATGATCGGCCCTTGGTCTCTCAATGCACCATCGCTGAATGCATGGCCCAGTTGCCGCCGTTGCCGTCTATGCACGTCTTTTGGAGCCCCAATGATAGATATAATGTCCCCTACAAATAAATAATTCGGTAGCTTCCCATACTCTTCTTTATCCATCTGGTGTCCAAACACTTCGGGCCAAGCGATGGATCCGTCAACTGCCAGATGATTCGGGCCAACACGTATGATGGGGCCATACTTGCGATGGAGTTTCTTCATCGTATGATGCATACGGCCGGAGAGGAAAGTCCCGTATGTGTAGGGGAGGTAGAAGGCGGCCATATGAGTTGGACCGGGGAATTTGGATAGCGGGTGGAACCAGACATTATGGACAATAATGGCTGCACGATAAACAAGGAACTAGTATCCCGCGAGTTAGTACTATAATACATGTAGTCACGGCTACTTGGAGAGATGCATGGCATATAGAACTTGGTTAGACTTGCCAGTACAGTAAGGATGCCCAGTAATTGGATCACAGTCTCACGACTCAATTCCTCGACGACCTCGTGCATGAAGCCTTGTACTTGAGGAAAGGCCGGAGCTGGTCTCTTAGCATATGTGAATAATGTTTCCATAATGCTGACACGATCTGTGGTATGGATTTGTATGAGGGAAATGCCGTTGAGGGGATGATGCCGGGTTCTGTCAAGACACCTCGTTGTATTTGTACTTTTTTTTCATCCTCCATATTTGCTTTTTTCTCAGCTTATACTATATTTCTAGCTGAGACATGATTTCAGCCCTCTCAGCCCCTCTTCATTCAAGTATCTGGAAATGGAGGGGGCGAGGCGGAGTACTGCACCACAACGTGCATAATCACAAGGGTTAACCATACCTACCAATTTGAAGCCGCCGAGCAGATCATTGTAAATTGAACACAACACCAAGCTCTCATTGGGAATTTTTTACCGAGCCTGGTGATTTAAACCTGTCCCGGAAAGTTTGGACTACCCTGGCTCTGAACTTGGTAACTAACTGATCCGGACCTTACAGGGATTGGCTGATTCAACACCGGACGAGTTTAATCCTGGAAGGTGTTCTTCTTCTTGAGTTCCATCTACAAGGATCAATGCAGCTGCAACGTGGCTGACCGTTTATGCATATACCAGAGATAAAATATTTCACGCAAAGACTTGCTTGCCCATACCCGCATCATTGTATGCTTAGAGGTAGGTAGGTAGTAATAGCACGTATTTGCGGCCGCGATAACAAGTCTTCGCCCGCGGGTTCCGATCAATCCTTCGTTTCTCTGCAGGGTTGTTGATAAAAGCCGGAATACTGGCTAATAATAGGCAATCCATTCACATACGGTGGGTGGCGTCGAAGGCGCAATGGGCGGGTTCTCGACCATTGGTTGCTGCGATCAATGCTATCTGCATTGTCGCTCCTGAAGCTCTGATGACAAACTGCCGTTGTTCAGGGTTCTGATATATGCTATAGGGCGTCAAACTGCCTCATACCGATCAAATTGAAAAAGGGCTAAACGCAATTTTGCAATGGGTGTGTGGATGCCGGGGCTTGCCTATCGACGAACATCCTTCGGTGTTCATACACTCCATTGTATCGTGGCTAAATCTTGGACGGGGCAATATGTGAAAAAACACACAATACCAAGACACATAATTCTTAAAAGCATTAAATTGAGAAATGAGTACAAAATCTTTGGTAGCAGTTCAAAAGTGAAGCAATCCCCGTGCTGCTGCGCTTTGTGTTGTTGTTTGGTATACCTGGCAGGGTCTTCATCAATAGCATGCCCATCCCTTGCGAAATACCAATACGACCTTATGCAACCCTTAATAGTCTCGTCCCGGTCATCATGTCGCATAATACCTGGTCTGACACGTGGAGGTTCGGCATCTAGATGGTGTGAAGTGGAAAAAGGAAGTAGAAAGCCGGGGTTGCAGTCAGCTTCCCGTGAGGGGCACTACTACAGAAGAAGCAACCGTGTGAGCTGCATGTAATGTAAGTCCTGACTCTGAGACATTGCAACATCAGAAGTCTATCTATAGTGAACAACGAAACGACCTTAATCTCGTTGTTGTCTTTCTAAGCATCTGGGTCCGTAGTCTATTCGCGGCTCGGCGTCTTTTCGAACCTCGTAATGCCAGCCATTGCCACGCGAGCCATGCAGTGTGATGCTACCCTCTCCCCACTTCAGATGGCACATCGTGCTGAGAGATCCTTCCGTGGGGTACTTTTCACGAGCTAATACTGCAGGTGTGCTGCTACTGGATTCTCAGGATGCTGCAAATATGAGAGATAATCCTTGCAAGCCATGTTGTTGAGTTCCGTACTGGTCCGACTTCTCATGTGTGAGTTCACCCTGCAAGAAAAAGAGCATCTGCATGGCCCCATCGGGCTGTAAATGCCATTTTTGATGTTGCGAAGTAAACATGGCTTTATATGACTATTGACTTTATGTGTAGCCATTTAGTAAAAGTGTACGCTCCTTTGCGTATAAACCCGCCTTCTGGCTTGGCTTTCCGAAAAGCCAAGAATGGGTCTCCTAACGGAGTTTGCGAATCTCTCCGCATGCACGAGGCTGACCATCTTGTCAAATACCAAGGTAACATGGCGGCAAATGCCCACGTGCGTCATATATTGGCATTATCCCTTTGATCGCGGCAGTAGTCGAGAGAAAGTTTCCGCCGGGCGTCATTTTCAGCTCGGGAATATCTATTCAGTCCTCCGTACACTTCCAGTAAACTACTCTACCCCATCTTGTTAATATGAATATCGCGTGGGCTGGTTACATCGACCAGTGGACCACACTTGGGTATATCTCTCGACTGCGCCGGAAACAGCCCTGAACTCAATTGCAGCTTCATGCCATGACCGGCATTTCAGTCAACCCGACTCGATGCCTTGTAAACCGGAGATGTCACCCAGATGAGATAGCCGAGGCAAACAATGAATCGGTGTGTGGGACTCATTTTGCGCGCAGTTCCTCCGGTGTATCAGGCTGATTCTGCCAGTGCGCCTTGATCACAGCCGGATGCTTGCCCAGCTTTTCGCTAATCCTGGTAATGATTGGGAATGCGTCGAGATCAACGCCGTATCTCTGAGCATTCCACACAGCCGGCAGCAGACATACATCGGCCAAGGTGATCTCGTCACCCACAGAATACTCGCCGGCCCAATCCCTGACGGCGCTTTCATAGGCCTCGAGGATTTCCGTCATAATCTCCAGGTTCCATTGCTCCGCGTTGCCCCCCATTGCCCTGATCCGCTTCATGATCTTCATGTTTGTGACTGGCTGCAGGTCGCAGGCGATGATGCCAGCCAGAGCACGTGTGGCCGCCCTCGCTTCAGGATTCGACGCGGGCGGCAGGATGTGATGGCCTTGGGGGTGTGTTTCCTCCAGGAATTCGATGGCGGCCACCGATTGGCCGATTTTGAAGACGCTCCCATCACCCGCAGTGCGGATCAGCAAAGGCACCGTGGCTGTTGGGTTGCGCGCCTTGTGTTCGCTGGCGAGGTGCTCGTTTTTGAGGAGATTGACTGTTTTTACGTCATACTCGATGCCTTTGAGGTTCAGCACGATTCGAAGCCGGGCAGAGCAAGAAGAGCGGAAGTAGCTGTAGATTAAGTATGAAGGATCCGACATGGTGACAGGCTTATTTTGCTCTATGAGTGAGGGCGGGGCTGGTGGTATGTATGTATAAACAAACGGTCGAGTTCAAGGCGCAACAGTTTAGCAGATGCCAATGAATGAACTGATGAATCGACAAGACTGAGCTGAATATGTGGGATTTGAAGTGCCGTAGAAGCGACAAGTAGTGGTCGAAGTCGAAGTTGATCTGTTGACGATCTAAACAACTTGAGTGATGGCTTCCTCTTGAATTTGAATCTGGAGGCGTCGCGCGGAAACGAGCCGCAAGCCGATTCCGGGGCTCCGCCAACTAAAACACCCGCCGATAGCCTCGCTGGGCCGAGACGAGACATCTTTGAGTCGAAGGCTTATAGCGGGCCGATCTGCCTAGTTCTAACGCGAGTCGGCAAACAGTACCCATGCTGTTATAGTTGAAAATCCACATTTATCTTTGGGAGAACTGTTTTGATCACTATTGCGAAAAGTCTTTGGGACTCCGAAATCGCGAATTATCTGGGCGATTGATCAATACGGAGAGTTGGAGCAAATAGGATTGCGGGTGTAAAATGGATTATTGAATACATGTAATCATAAGGTCAACATTCATACTTCATAGGTAGGTACTAGGTAGGTAGAAATTCCAGTAATGTAGCCCGATATCTCAACCAATAGCCGTGATAATACCGGAGTAAGCTCAATATTGGCGCATGGAGTTACACATATAAGTCAACAAATCGTTTGAACTATGCATCGCCGCGATATACGAAGATTGATCATCCCAAGAGGCTGTCTCGTACCTTTGACAATCAGACTGTAAGTACCTGTAGCCTAGCCGGCTGGAATAACCCAGAAATGCGTGACCTGGGGATGGGATTGTATAGGCGGTGTTGTAACAGCAGAAGTGAGGGAAGCGTGGTAATCACATTGATAAGACAATCTGGAACGCTTGGGATCGCATTTTCAGGGTCGAAACGAACGCTTTTACGCAATGGGCTATGAATAGAGCAGGATGGCAAAACCACCAGATCCATCGACGGTTGGATTTACAATGCTCTTCAGATACACCAGCTTTGCGTTTCCAAAGATTAATTGCCCATGATTACTGATTCTCACAGCGCAAGAAAAAAAACAAAGAAAAAAGCAAGGCGAGAAAAAAAGCCTCTAGTGTTTATACGCGCAAAAATTTGGGACCCTGTATGCCTAAATATAAACATATTCTAGGCGGTTGGATCCGTGTTCGTAGCCTTACGTGCATGTCAGTGCCAAACCACGGCCCACATGCAATCCGCCGCCTTTGGCATTTCCCAACGAAATTATTAGAAATGGTCAAAGCAGCTCGAAGCTCTCTTCGAATTATATGGCAGCCGTTGAGGCTTCCAGGGCAAAGAAGGGGAAGAAACAAAAGGGAAAAAGAAGCTATACTGTACCATTCGGCCGCATAATTCATCCGCCTTACGCTTCCCCGCTCGTCCTTTCAACACCACTCCATATCCAGCCAATGTGATTTGCGGCTTCACATCCGCGATGAATACCCGAATTGGCCACCTCTTGAGCTCGGGATCACGCTGTCTACTAGGTACTCATGCTCTATGGCTGCAAGCCGACGGAAGTCTTGGCCTACGAAACCGGTGTGAAGCAGATTAATTAAACTATTTTAACTTGGACGTCGCTAACTCCTCCTTCACCAGTTAATCATGCGATAGTGGACGCTATCTTTTCAGCTAGCTAGCCGCTGTCGTTGGCAGAATAACACTGGAAAACAAGAACTTTGCTTTTCATCAGTATGCGAAAAAAAAAAATTCAAGATCTTCTCATCTACGTCACAATCCCAAGCGGTCTACAAAGTAGATGATGCTTATTTGATGCTCATTGCAGGATCAACAGGTTAAGTACTATGTCTGAACGCCTTGTCCTCCGCTAGACGTGCTTCATTGCGCGACTTTCAAGTACAGCAAATACAACTGCTGCTTGTTTAAACAATAAAGCCTTACCAAGTGAAGCAATTACAGCGTCGATCTCGAGCTTGGAATGCAGCATGGTACGAAGTAGCGGCAGCCCAAAGGTATCGAATTACCCTGGCAGAAGAGAACTTCAGCCGCACGGCAACCCCAGAAAGGAGCCTTTATGGGCCCCCCGTCATTCTACAAACCCGTAGGGCGGGCGAAATACGAGTAGACGTGATTCATGGTGAAGAACCGCAGAGTGTAGAGGCGAGAGACACACAGAGACTAAGAGTCCGTCGATATGCACAGCATGGGAAGTAAATCAGTGCTCAAGTGGCTGCTATTTCACAAACAACCGCTGTCTTGCATGCTCAGAGCGTATTTATTCAACAAATATTACATGAAATACATACGGACAGTATCCGTCAACACATTAAGACCAGATCAGGCTCACTCTAAACAAAAGAAGCATTTTCATCATTAGCAGCTTGACTTGATGCAAGAAACAAGAAAATAAAGATGTTTAAAAATAGTCATCTCGTGTTTCTTGGCACGGCTACCAGTCATGCTCCTAATTGTTAGCTGCTCAACCTATTAGGCGGTCATGATGTTGACCATGCAGCTTTGCAGTAGTCCAAGCAGCTCAAGGGTCTTTAGCTCTAGCTTCATCGACGAGCCCGCCCAAAGACAGAAAGGCTTTTAAATGGACGGATTTCCGCCGTTGCTTGCTCGGCTCTTCAGTATTAGATTCTTGCCGATCAAATCCGCACTCTTATCTCGCTGGCTTGACTTGGAAACCGACAAAGATGCAATCCCGGTTGCTATTGTTGTGGGTTGCCACTGTTTCGGGTGCAGAACTCTTTGTGAATTTCGACCAGAAGCTAGAGGACCGGCCCAGGCTATTCACATTGGTGAAGGAGGAAGTTGGGAGATTGGATATCCAGGCAAAGTTCAACTCAAAAAATGATGATGGAAAAGTACCGCTTGGTTCCGATCTGACAGCCCGCGAAGCCGTCGACGTCCTACTGGGCAAGCGTCAATCATGTCCGCAGGGCTTTGGATATTGCCCGAGTGAGTTTTCCCATGAACAATTAATAGCTAGCCTTGCTGTGAATGGTTGTTGACGGAATATTGAATTGCCACAGGCGCTGGGGGATGCTGTGTCACGAATAGCCTCTGCTGCTCGTATGGATACTGCCATACCCAAGGATCCGTCTGTTGTCCAACTGGCCCATGTAGGAGCGGTCAGACATGTTGCGGCTTAAGCCACTGCATGCCTGTGGGAGATCAATGCTGTACAGATGAATCTCATTGTGAACGGGGAAATAACTGCTACCGAAACCTGAGAACGAATCAGATGGTATGCTGCACTGATGAACACTGCACGGCACACGTGGACAATGGAAAGACGACCTACGCGCAAACGACGACCAGCACACACACATATACTACGACTTACTACCAGTACTACTACTGGACGGTGACTTGGTGAGTACCTTGTCTAATACATGGCAGTCTTCCGCTGACAAGTTTACACAGGTACTACTGGTACTACTATTGGACATACTCGATCGACATCCAGGCATCTATCGTGACCTCTAGTCGTTCAACCACCTGGACTACATTCAGTGTCAAGACAACGGATGCGGCTGCAGCTTCTGAGTATTTCAGTTCGAAATCTAGGACACTGTCACTACCTACACCTGCTGCTGCCACGTCCCTCGAGTCCATAGCAGGCAGCACGTCGTTTATTTCTTCGTCGCGACGCCCGAGCCCGAATCCTAGTCCAACGGACGAATCAAGCATTACTGAAGCACCTACGCCACCGCCGTTTAGCTTTCCTGGCGAGATTGATAGCAGTTCTACAAGCAAATCTAGTAGCAGCACCACCTCTCTTCTTCACAATGGTGGCGATGATGGCCCTTCAAGCAATGGGGGCGGAAACGGAGGTGGAAACGGAGGCAATGATTCTTCTGGAGCGAAGCCATTGTGGGCTAAATCGGACTGGAAGACGGTCTGGGTCTTAATACTGGGTGCTGGAACCGGGCTTTTGGCTGTGATTCTTTGAATGGAACTTGAACGCAAGCTTGACGGCAGGATATCCTCACTCAGGGTTTCACTCTAAAGTTGACCACGTTGCATTTATATAATGAAGTAATGATTAATAATCTATTCATCACTTCTCTTCGTCGGGCTACCACTCTGTAAGTCGAATCCCTAGCTCGGATGTGCCATCAAAAATCTGCCTTGATTGCCTGTTCCAATTCAACATGCTTTTCCAAGATGCTCTTGACTTTATCCAGCGGCAGCGCGTCTATATGAAAGCCCTTATGGCCCGTCATGCTCTCGGCCATGCATAGAACGTTGTATATAGCTTCCTCTGTAGAATCAGCGGCGGCTTCGAGCAGGGCGTTGATGGTCGAATCATCGACTGTCTGCGTCGCCAGGGGGCTGGCCTTGAATGGATCGACATCCCTATGCTCAGAGCCGACCGTCTGCACTGGTATCTTGTTGGCTGTGCTGAACGCCAGGAAGATGTCGCCGCTGGAGTTGTGCCCATAGCCACCAACTCGAGACAGACCTCCAGCGGCGCGTTTGGACAAGCGCTGAAGTTGAATGGGGCTCAAGGGAGCATCTGTGGCGAGGATGATGATGATGCTTCCGTCTCTCTTGTCCTTGGCGGCATCATATTCAGCTTGTGCCTTGGCCGCCTCCTTTCTCTTCTCTGCTTCCGCAGCGAGGATCCTTCCCACAGGAACGCCGGTGATGTGCAGGTGGTGAATTCGGCCATAGTTTGCTTGTACCAGCGCTGCGACGGTATACCCCTTCTCGTTCCCCTGGCCGTCAAGGCCTGGCACCACTCGGCTCGAAGTTCCAGTGCCACCTTTGAATCCTTGACACAGCATGCCCGTGCCGCCGCCAGTGTTGCCTTCGGGTACTGGGTCGGCAGATGCAGCATTGATACCATCGATGACATGTTGTGGCGTGACTACAAACTTGGTCATGTCGTGGAGGAATCCGTCAAAGGTCTCTCCCACGACGGGCGTAAGAAACCAGTCGACCGTTCCGCCGGCTGCACTGTAATGTTCAATAGCATATTGATAGATGCCGTTGTAACAGTTGCCCACGGCGAAACTGTTTGTCAAGACAATGGGGCTGTGAAGAAGACCCGTCTCCTCGATCCAATGGGAGCCAGTCATCTCTCCGGAGCCGTTGTACCGGAAAATGCCGGCGTAGCAGGCATTGTTGAACCAATCTTTGCGTGGGAGAATGGTTGTCACGCCAGTGTTGACAGAGCCATCATCGCTGTGGATAGACTCGGTATGAACTAGAACCCCAGAGACGTCTGTGATGCCGTTCTTGGCGCCGGTTGGCCAAGTCCCGACCTTGAGACCCGGGACAAGGTCGCGAAGCCGGACGCGAGCGGAGGGCGAGCTGGACATGTTCGGCGCGGACATAATTGGCCCTTATCTCTGTACGAGTATTCGTATGCTTCTGCCAATGCTGACAGTGCGGGTACTCGGGTATCCGCGTGTATTGTAACCTTTCGATTGCAATGGCTTGTGATGTGTATTCGCAAGCTGGCGGCTCGGAGGGCTTCTCGACAATCAGCGCCGAGGCCGGTAGACATGACGGGCAATTCATGTTTTATACATTACAAATTAAACACTCGCGGTCTTTGATATCGCGAGATGGACGGCGCAGAGAAGAGGAGATTGCATAGATGACTCACGCCGGGCTGCACTATGCGACTATTAGTCACGGCGATGGATTGCAGATCTGGTGCGTATCGTAAAATACAGCGTTCTCTCGAGCCGGCATTCATCTACGACTGTCGGTATAGGAAGAGCTTGCCCCGAGAATCAAGAGTCACTCTGATGAAACCGATGCCGACGCTACTTGGGCGCTGCAGAGGCAACTCTCATGATTCTCCGTCGTGCATGTGAAAATCTTCAGTAGTGGACTCAATTCATGGCGCGTCTAGCCCCGAAAGCATCTCAACACACTTTCGACTTTTACGCGCTTATATTCTTTACCCGTTTAACCTTGAGTTTACTACTGGTAACACCACTGGGCAATCACGCGTATAGACTTGTATCTGTATGGCATGATGATGTGTAGATGATGGCTCCCGCGTCCCTTTGCCGTCGTTTTTTGCCACTGGGCGGCAATGACTAACATCTGCAGAAAACACACCTCAAGCTTTTAAAGAACAATGCGGGGTAGGTGTTTTAGATCCGCGGCGTTTTTCTAAAGGAGAATTGTGTTGTGAGGCTTGCTGCTTGTCTCAGCCTAGCTCTCTCGGCACATCATGTTGTAGTGGCCAGTTCGGACAACTCTGGGAGCCAACCTCGTAGATGCGGTGAGCAACGTAACTGGCCAGATTCATCGTACGGAGTCGTATTACTAGCATATTACTCATATGTATGCAGGGAGTTTCCCCTCTCAGTGTTTGAATCAAAAAACTAAAAGCTGATGAACCCCCAGTCCGGCAGCCCCAGCAAAGGGCCGAGAGCGCGCTCGGTCGACCGAGAGCCAAGTGGAAAAGAAGCTAGCCGCTTTCTTAAATCCTTCAACCTAGAGGAAATTTTTTCTTATTTGCTCATAGCCGTTCTCGTCTCGCGTCCGTCGCTAAAGTCGGGTCAATCGGCATGGTTGGTTTGTAGAAGCTGCAGCAGAAACCTGCGTGAAGCTGGTGACTTTGGAGTATAATCCCGTGATAGACCCTTTTCATTATAAAGCAGAGAGCTCCATATCGATTAGTCAATTAGTAAAGCCAAAAAGAACAAACAAGAGGCCGACAGCCGTTGCTCCGGCAGCAGGATCTTGGCCATGTGCGCTCGCGGCGGCTTGGGGGCCGATCCCAACGCTCACGCCCGCTTCGGTCTCGGCCGCCTTGAAGGCCCGGGCCTCCTGAAAATCTTGTATTATGTATTGTGTTGGTTATTCAGCTTCCTATTGTCACCAGGATGACCATGATTTAGTGCCCGTGGTCCCAACGACAGACTTTTCACCTTTATATGTGGCATGTATTCGTCCTGAGGTAACCCTTCTTTGGATCTGCGACAAGCAACCTCTCTGGATGCAAATTGTGCTCGGCAGTCCAAGGAGCGGATAACCTATCCACGACCGGCGATTATTTACAACATCTCCTCCCATCTGCCGCCCTCTCAGTCGCCCGCCATGTTTACAAGTCCCAATTCCAGCGGCACCGCTATCGAAGATGCTGATGATTTCGAGCGCCGCGTCGAAATTTCCGAAAAGGACGGCAACAATGGCTCTGGCCGCCAGGAGCCCATTGTCCTGAAAGGGGAGGAAGACGCCGGTTACCAGCCCGCAGCTGCGACACCCATCGGCAGTCCGCCTCCGGACGGTGGCCTTCGAGCATGGCTTGTAGTTGTAGGAGCTTGGTGCACGTCGTTTTGTAGTTTTGGGTGGATTAACAGTATGTACCCTCCTGCATTCAATACGAAAAAGGATAACTGGAGACTGACCTTTGTGCAAAAAGGTGTTGGTGTATTCCAAGACTATTACCAGGCTACAATCCTCAAAGAGTACTCGAGTAGCACCGTCTCATGGATCCCGTCCTTGCAGATCTTCTTTATGCTGGCCTTGGTAAGCCAACTTGCTAACTCTTTACTTTGCGTATCTTATAATATTAACAATGCGTTTTCAAGGGGCCAATTGTCGGTTTGATCTATGACAAGTACGGCCCCCGTTGGCTTATTATTGGCGGAACGTTTCTTCACGTCTTTGGCTTGATGATGACGTCTATCTCTCACGATTACTACCAGATTCTCCTTTCACAGGGAGTCTGCAGCGCCATTGGTGTCTCTGCCATCTTCCAGCCGGCTCTCAACAGCATTGCGACATGGTTCACCACCAAGCGCGGCGCCGCCTACGGACTCTTAGCAACTGGCTCAAGCTTGGGAGGTGTCATTTTCCCCATCATGGTCAGCCGCTTAATCGACGAGGTCGGCTTCGGCTGGGCTATGCGAATCTCAGCTTTCTTGATCCTTGCTCTTCTCATCGTTGCCATCTTGACAGTAAAAACGCACAACCCGCCCAAATTCCAGCCCATCACCGTCAAGCGAATGGTCACTCCCTTCACCGAGGTTCAGTTTTTCTGTCTTGCCATGGGATTGCTGCTCTTTACATTTGGACTGTACACCCCGATCAACTACATCTCCGTTGAGGCTGCTGCTGCAGGAATGGACCCCAATCTGGTGCTATACCTCATTCCTATTCTAAACGCTGGAAGGTAAGTCTCCCACTAGAACTACGAGGATCTGATCCCTCTACATTAGTCCTTTTTTTTTACTGATCACTCTTTCGTGCAGTTTATTCGGTCGTGTTTTCTCTGGTTATGCTGGCGACAAATGGGGTCGATACAACGTCTTCGTTGCGGTTTGCTACCTGGCGGGCATATTCGTCCTGGGCCTCTGGATTCCCGCATCTTCAACTGCCGCGAGAATCGCCTTTGCTACGCTCTTTGGCTTCTTCTCAGGAGCTTACGTCGCTTTGATCGCCGCCCTTGTCGTCCAAATATCACCTCCGTCTGAGATTGGCTTCCGTACTGGTCTAGTGTTTCTGGCCTCGTCTTTTGGAGGTCTTACGACAAGCCCCATCTCCGGTGCCATTGTAGAGAAGCCTATTGGATGGCTTGGCCCGAAGATTTTTGCAGGTGTCTTTTGCATTGTTGGGACGACCTTTGTGTTGGCAGCAAGAATCCACAGGACGGGCTGGAAGCTGAGAGCCGTCTTCTAAAAGGAGCGCACGTCACGTACATAATTGACAGCATACGAGTACACATTTTAGCATATAGATGGTGTTCATGGGCAGCATAGTTAGCATCAGCGCTTAGAGCAGAACGACACATCAAAATTTACAGTTGATTGGTTTCAATTTATTCTCAAAACGCTCCTGAATCAATGGGTATATGAGTACATAATATGCCGTTATTAAAAGTAACTGGAAAAATCATGCAAATCTAAATGCAAATCCTCGACCAACGTGTTCCAATCGGGCATATTATTCTGCATTAGACTACTCCAATCCACGTTCTCCCCGTCGAAACGACGAACATCCATGACTACCTCCTGTGGAGGATTTTGCATCTCTTCGTCACCCGGAACTTCATCCGTTTTAGAGATGGAACTCGTCATATCATTTCCGTTAATCAACGACTGTCTGGTCAATTCAGCCTTCTTGTGCAGTCTCTTCAAGATGACGGATTTGAGCGCCGGGTTAGACACGGCCGTAGAAAGCCTGACTTGTTCCAACTCAAACATCTTTTCTACAACAGCCCAGGCTCGCTCAACGCTGGGGCCAGTCGGGCAAACACATAGGTGCCAGAGGACGTATAGCAGCATGTGATACTGCGGATGACCATACATGCACCATCTATAGGGACCAAGAAGCTCGTCTCCCCATAACTCGAGATGGATTTCGAGACACCTTAGTGCAGAAATCAAGTTTGCTTCCGTGGCAAACGCATTGCGCTTATCGGGGTTCTCCAGGATGGCAAGCTGCTGCCTTGTAACAAAGTCGATCTTGTGCACCATGGCGAGGGCCGTTTTCATGGTCATTCTCTGTATCGGTATGACCGGGTTGCACGGCTTTATGTAGTGCTCCACGCGAGACCTGAGTTGGCTGAACATGTTACTCCTGATAACCTCTTTCGGTGTTGATCCTGAGGGCATCATGGAGAGATTGGCCATGTTCTGTAGGGTCTGGGCCACTTCCATGCATGTCAGCGGAAGGCTCATTTTGGTCCATCCACCGTGAGGGGGTGGAAGCTCTTTCATGTCCGGACGAAGCTCATTATCGTCAACGTTCAGTGGCATTTTGGTATCGTAGCCCGGTACCGTCGACCATGAATCAATACCGTGATCTTCCGCAGCTCTTCCATCTTTGGCCAAGAAATGCCACCACAGCCGCCTTCGGACTTCGGACTCGAATGGCGATATGCCTAGCTTAGTTCCATCTCGGTGAAGGCCAATGGAATGCGCCATTCTCAAAGCAAGACCGTTTAAGATCCAGATGCCTCTTCCGTGATAATAAGCCCGTGATGATGCCTGAATTTACGCATTAGTAACTTTGCACTTAGAGCAACGTTTGAAAGCAGAAAGGGGCTTACCAGATATATGGCCAGCCCTTGCAGCAGCACAACTGTTGGATTCTCCAGCATATCGGCCCCTGCCAAGTGCATCTGAAATTCCCTTTTGAAGGTTCGCAAGGCATTTGCTTTGTCAACGCCCAGAATGTGCTGAGCTTCCTCCGGCTCCAGAGTCAACGTGGTCGCAAAGTACACGGCGGAGACCATAGCCAAGACATCACTGGATACCGATTCCGGTTGATGGATGGCGGTGAAAATAGTCACCTCGTCTGTCGGAATGTGCAATATTTTGATAGTGGCGTCGACATTTTGTACAAATATATGCCACAGCTGCGTGGCACTTAACCGTGATAACCGCCAGCCTCTCTCCTTTTCATCAAATACGGCAGGACATGTCAGCAAGCCCATGAGACTGAAGGGTGAGTCAAGATCCTGTTCCTTAGTTTCACTGTGCGGTGTATGTAGCAGCGATGATTTATCCTGATCCTAAAGGAGTTGTCAGTTCAGTCTTAACGCACGCAAATAATTTCCTAGGCTGAAGCAAAGTCTCACCTCTTCAATGACTTTGGAAATGAGAAGTTCATTAAAGTACTGGCTTGAGGTGCCGTTTCTAATCAAGACCTCCTCCGATGGGATTTCTTGAGGTTCCTGAGGAGACTCATGCGGGCTCACCGGTAAGCTCACCGACAAGCCCATTGATGCAGAGACATGAGCATGTGGTGGCAATGATCTCCTCGCTGTATTTCCTTGGTCGATGGACGACGCCGCCACAATAGTCTTCTCAAGGTCCGAAATCCTCGAGGCAACATCCGCAATAGTAGCCTTGCGAACTCGACGGACAGGCTTGTCAGAAGCCGGATATGTGCACGTGAGGCGAGCCCTCACGCATGCCAAGCATGGTGTCTGTCTGTCACACCGGATCTTCCTCCGGTGGCAGAGTACGCACGACCTGTCCGGCTTCCGGCGCGGGTGCGGCGAAGGCGGAGTGAGACCACGGTCGGTCGAGGCTGGAGGCGTGGTCAGAGGGAGAGGGGAATCAGTACTGCCCGGCCGGCTGGGATCTTGCGGAGGAGACATGTCTCGAAAGCTGGGCAATTCGGGTTCAGTGATCAAAAGAGTGCCCGACCGATCTGAGTGAGCCTGGGATAATCAATGACTTTGTCTCGACGTTGTCGGTCTCGGCTCTTCCACAAGCACCGATGCCGAGCCGTGGTATTTTTGCCCCTTTCAGCTAGAGGCGGGAGTGCCGGCGACTTATTAGTAATTACAGTCGTGCTTGTCTAGTCATCTTGAGAGCTAAGATGCCAATCTTGCTAGTAGTAAGCAACTCTGTGGCAAGAGTTTGTTCAGCAACAACACCAAGACAACACGGGGTTCGTCTTCACAAAAGACCTATATATAAAACAAGAGTCAGAATAGTTGAATAGACAGGATGGCAACTGATGATGAATCATGTTTTCGTTGCAAATAATAGCCTCGTCGCTATTCTTCATACCTCGGCTCCAAGCCTCTCCACATGCATGCTTATGCAGCACGGTTAAGCTTGTCAAGGCATTTGACTGCGTCACATTTTGCCCTGCCAGGCGTCAACGCTTCGGGTTGGCCAGCAACTCGTCGAATTTCCAGTCTTCCCGTCATTGAGGGGAGGGCTACCAATGGTTAATATTGACTGGCTGCGTAACCAGTAAGCATCTCAGGCCATCGGCCGCTGTCATAGTTGTCCTATCACAAATCCATTAGTATAATCCGGGTTATTCCCAAGTAGTAGTCAACAGGAAATGCGTTACCATCATTGTTACTCTGCTTCTTTTGGATATGGCTGGTCATCATTTCCCAACACCAGGCTTTCATTCCGTTCTTCCGAATTTGTGTGGTGATGAATAGCAGTAATTCCCAAGTCCGCGGGCGAAGAGCCCAAAACGCCCCAAATTCATTTGGGATACATCGTGCATTTTATTCTTCCGTGGGTTTGAAAGCAGCCAGGCTTTTAACAGCGCACATCAATAGCGCTCCGGTCATGCCGGGACTCCAGTTTATAAGGAGCTTTGATTCGGATTCGGTTAACGGCGGACGTCATTCCGCCAGGAGCAATACGCGCGATATACAACTACCTCGGAATGTCGAAAATGACTCGACCAGGTGTAGTTCTCGTACGAGAGGGTGCTCCTATTAACACAATTCGGGAACAGTTAATATTAGGGTGATCGCTAATCGCTTTAAGAATGAGGGATTTTAATATCAATCAGGGGGATAACGATATAAACGATTCCGTAAGATTCCACTCGGGGTATAATAAGGATGGTATCAACGATATTGGGAAGGATTAATTTCAACGTCTCTATTTGCCTATACTCTATCTATCTGACCACCTATATCATGTCGCTCATTTTGGACCACATTTTATCAGAAAGTAGTGATCTGAATGTATTTGTTTTACTGTTTACCCTGGTGGCAAACAGCCCATTTCGAAGTCTTAGGTAGCTGGTCACTGCCTGTATAAAGATAATGACGGCCAAGACTTTGCCTGTGAAGAATCTCAGATCCCCGGCAGATCATGTTGCATGGCATTATAGGGTTATTTCCCAAGTCATGTGGGTACTGAACCAGCCACTTGGCATATCCCATAGAAAATGGGGTAACATCGAAGGTCTATAGTGTGTTTCCCACCTGCAGGTCGGAAAAGTTTCCAAATCCAGCACCGTTTCTCAACAACGCATGAATCGTACACCCCGAAACTAGTTCTTGGACAAGCAAACTAAGCAAACTTGGTTCAGTATATCTTGGCAGCAATCAAGGCGTTTTGACGATCACCACCTCTCGGCAGGCGAAACTAACTGATTATAACATATTCCATGAGAAAGTAACCCACTATTTGAAGAGATTTGTATCTTCCATTCAGTATCGTATTGAGAAACTCAAGTAAGATATAGATGCAGCAAGTCGCTTGAATAGTGGGCTGATGTGATTTCAATGCCAGGTTCTGTCTCACTGTTTTCTTGGTATCCTAGCCCGTAACAGGAACAAACTCTCGGAAACAACCGAGTGCTCGGAAACAAGATCTCGGAAACGGGCACTCTGCTAATCGTTTTAAACACAGCCTCATTGATACCCCTTATGTATTACAAGAATGTACAGAGTGTTTCGGGCTCAATTACCTTTTCTCTTGGATTCTTTCAACTTCTCGCACATTATCTGGACGGTGATTCCAACAGCTTCCAACAATACAACAGTTCAAGTACATATCAAGGTGTACACAGATGCGAACATACAAGCCCCTTCTACCTTGGATTCTTTCATTATTTACAGGATAATCACTAATCATGACTCTTCTGCTTCTAGTTGCATAAAATCTTCCTTCTAGCTGATCGCACTCAGCAGCCGACCGATTATCCGTGCCCAGTACTACAACCACCCCGGCAGAGACCAAACGGCGAGTTGCGGCAGATTCCGAATGAAGATAAAAACATCAAAGGAGAGGCTAGAGTCACAGATACTCTAGAAGCCGAATGCAAGGAGTTAATTGGTGCTTCCTAATTACCCGCCAATTAGGACCACCAACGTTTACACAGTCGTACAATTTCAAGGACATTCCGTAAGACAATGTAAGACAAAGGATAAACTCATTTAAAAGGGTCTCCACGCTCTGCATGATACTTCACCGCCTAGTTCCTTTGGCCACTCTTCGTCAGGATATTCCGCGAACCAGCATCTAGTATTAAGCTCACATAATGAGAGCATCATGCAAGTTGCTGACAACTATAATGCATGTCTAAACAATAAATAACTGCGTACGGCACTTCTTCAACAATCAGATTAGTAGTGCATGAGAAGTAATATCATTATAATTCATTAGATAGATGTGAACGGTATCGTATACAAGTATCAAAAAAAAGTATCAACAAGTTCCCCTCTAAGCATGCCGGTTTCGCTTTGCGCCCATCCCCACCTCTAAAATGTAAAACTAACTGGATTCTCATCCAGAAATTGGCCCAGCTCAGGAAAATTCATAAAGGGCAAATCCTGAGCCAGATTAAGAATAGAGCCAGACATGTCAAAACCACGTCTCGAATGCGACATGTCTGCTGAAAGAGTCCCAATGTCGGCGGACGATGTTTGGGGGAAAGACTGAGATGGCGAGGCCATTGACTGGTTGGCATCCAAGGAATACCCCATGATACCGCGTGGATGATGATCTCTTTCGCCCACGTCACGACCAGTCAATGAAGAAATTGCTAGTGACTGTTCAGATGACCGCGCCAAGTCCATGTTTGTCCTTGAACCATTGCCCTGGTTCTGATCCACGTCAAGCCGAGAAAAGGCCATGGACCGATCAGGGCTGTATGGATTTTGTACCAGTGACGTTGCTCCGTCGAAACTCGAGGAGATTTGCGACGTTGCTCTGCTACCTCTCGCTCGAAAGCTGTCCATAGCCTCATGTATGTTGCGTAATCTTTCCAAGAGACGTTGCGAAACGGGTGATGTCAGTGAGAGTCGCTGTATCAGCTCCACGGCATCAAAGGCATCTTGAAGGCACGAAGCTCGATTGGCATCATCGTTAATGCTCCCTAAGACAAGCAGCATCGATGAGAGAGCAGATTCAAGGAAATGGTTGTATGTTTTATGTTGTGCCTGATAGATGTCCGTTTCATCGGCTAGTCGGACTAGTGTCCGAATGGTGTCGTGAGACACCTCAGCCAGGACATTAACTGTAGAAGGGTCGAGGTTATTTGATGCGAGGCGGTTTGCCGACGTCCTGTGTATGATGATCCTCATTTGGTTGGCTCTCAGGTAGAGGAGGAGACGTATCCTATACTCTCCGCGATCGACCCTTGCTGGATCATACTTTTTGGAGTCGTCGTAATGAAGCTTAATTGGCAAATTACGCTTCCATTGAACAACGCGAAAGTCAAGGAAATCGCGAGTCATGTCAGATGCAGAGCCAGATATGGGTTCCAGTAGCCATTTTCTCACATCTGAGGAGATTCGACAATAAGATACCATGCTCATAACGTACGATGACGAAGGTGAGTCGTTCTAGAGGGAAAGAAAACGATGAGCGAGACTGTAAGCCTTACGAGGGACGAGCGAATCGAACTTACACCTAGCATGGGATGTCGGTCGATCTCAGTATCATGGACGGCAAATGGTAAATCTGTCCCAAAACTCCAGCGCCGGTCAAGTGTGTAGACGCACCAGTATAATTTCTCCCCGGGCGATGCAATCTGGCTCCCCACATGAAGACTCAAGTCTCCCGAGTTCCGGGAGCCATTTTCTTGAAGCAGCCGGAGAACATTACCAATCCCTCTCCAGGCAAGGACTTCTCGATCACTATGAAAGAAGAACATGGCCTGTTTCAGACACAGTACGGTTAGACAATGTAACAATTCGTCACAATCCCGGGGGGGCCATCCTGAACTTACGGCAAGAATAAGAAGACATAAATCGGCGGCATTGATGGTGCTTTGAAGCTGAGTCCTTGCCACTGTTTCTGCATATACTTCTTCAACCCATGGATTTGCTATGCCAATCGCACGGGCGTCGGCGAAGATGGAAATGATGGCCAGGATATGTATCGCAATGTTCTCGACCTGGCTACGGCTAGGCTTGGTGTCAGAGGGTGATTGCTCATCCTTCATATTCTTTGTATCAATTTCCGTGATTTGGCGCTTCAACTCTTCGAGATTGAGAAAGGGATACTGAACGCCAATCTCCTCTTCATAAAATGCAATGATGCTGAGCCAGCGATCATTGTCGACAAAAGCCAGCACATTCCCTGCAGCTTTGCTGGCCCGATGAACGAGAAGCTTCTCTAAGAGATACGTTACAGGTACTCCCTCATAGGGGCCCTGGCTCTTCGCCTTCTGGGATGATGTAGGCTTTGCTGCGGTCAAAAGTCTCTCGGCAAGCTGAAGATAGTAGTCTGAGCTAAGCAATCCATTCGCCTTTGAGGGAGGAGCCGGAGGAGTGCCAGCGTTGGCGGCTCCTGAGATGGGCTCCGAATAAACCTGGATCTGCGCATTCGCAGCAGAGCCTTGGCTTTCTGTAGTGTTCCTAACTTGGGTGAGATGCTCTGCTCTACACTGGTCATGATAGAGACGAGATGACAGGAGCTCAAGCTTACGAGGTACGATTACGAGCTCGAAACCGTGTCGTGCGGTCATAGAGGCAGGCATGGTTGCTCTCTTTGCAGGCCTTGCAAGGCCTTTCTCCGCTGCATTTTGTCTTGCGTCGCTGGCATTCATCACTGGGAGGGTGTCACTAAGATTAACGCCGATTGCAAACACAAGGCCCGGCTCACCATGCAACGCGCGTATACGAGTGTCTCCTCTTCCTCGAAGACTTGGGAGCTGAAGTCCCTGCGCCTCCGGCCGGCGGTTCATCCATCTGGACGAAGGAAAGATCTCTTCCAAGTCAAGTCAGTCCGGCTCCAGCTGTCTTCGGCGATGAGTTTCCGGGTCCCACGAGCGCGTCCTTGAACGGTTGCCGACAAAATTGCCACAATGGATGTCAGAATAGCGCCAAATCATTTGTCAATTCGCCCGGGTAACAATGAAATCACGCTGCGGCTTGTGAGCACCATGGCGGTTCTTCAAAGGGCCGACGGTGCGAGAAACTACAAGGTATCTCTGCTGTCCATCCCCGTGCTAATAGCTAAAGCACGCTCGAGCAATTCACACGCGAACAAGCGAGGCAAACGATCGGGAAAATATTATTCCACGGCCATGGCTTGGTTAGTAATAACTTTTCAGTTACCGGGTTACTATTAAAGGAGCACCAGGCGGATTTCTCCGCTTCATCTCCCGGCCCAAGGCGGATGTTTCCCTTAACTGTACTTTATCTTCAATAGCCACGGTGCCAATTCTAGACAAGTGCCGAATTATCTGGAAGACTGAATGTGGGGGTACAGCAAGATTGTGCGCATGACATGAAGAAGTGCGGAATACGTGTACTACAGTAAGCCAAACCCTTGTTGTGTTTATGCTGCGTGTATTCAGTCAACGACGTAAGTCTTATAACGGATTGAGCGGATCCAGAAGCCAATTGATTGTAATAATGCAACTGAGAGAGCTGTGTAAGAGCACGCGAAAACAAGAGCTCATCGCGCCAGGATGCATCACAGGCATTTGCAAGCTATCCCAAGGCCACCCTACAGAGTGAAACATCTTGTCAATTCCAACCGAATCCCCGCTCATGCAGCTTATCTTATAATGTTATTTCGTATACGTGTATATAATAGTTCGATGAGTAATCGGCATATTCGCATCAGCATGTAACGCTTCCGTTGAGGGCTTTCTCATCCCTTCTCACAAGGCACGCTTAATACACACAATTCACGTCTTCAATCACACGGGGGGGTTATAACAATTCAAGATGAGATTTCATTCATATACCATTTACACTATTCGTCATAACAAATGATTCGCCATTCTAGGCTAGTCCTTTCTGCATCAGACAGTTTACTCATTCTTCTGCTCCTCTGGCGGAGGCAGGGGCTTGTCCAATCCAACGCGCTGCAGAGAGCTCTGGAAGTTCTTGGGGTCGACATTGTCCGTGTCCACAAGGAACGTCTTGGGCGTCTTGTCGACCAGAAGGCGGATCAGGTCAGGTCGCATGTAATGTCCACCCTTTTTCCACAGTCATTAGTTAGTGCAATGTTAAGCTTGGACGTAGTGGGTAGAATACATACAAAGTCAGCCAGGCGCTTGGTCAAAAGGTTCTCGTCCAGATCGATATCGACAATGAAGATTCCCTCAAAGTCCTTGGGGGGATCCTGCACGGCGCGGAAGCCATCAGGGCGGTAGATGCGGGCGAAGCCATTTGCGATGACAGCAGCCTCACCATCAACAGCAGCCTCGTCATTTCGCAGACGAGGGGGCAGGTTCATGCGGGCACCCTCGCGAGTGACGACCTGGCTAGGAGCAAGCGTCCAAGTGCCAGTCTCGTAGGCGTAGGCGGGAGTCACCAGCTCGGATTGGACCTCTGAAATGTTTGTGTAGGGGTCGGGGTACTGAAGAGAAGAAGCTGGGGGGTAGACGGGCCAAGCGGCCACGTGAACTTGCTCATATTGAGCGCAAGCATTTGCCTTGAGGAAGGGGTTCATCTGCAGCGAGTTAGTACGTTTCAACGCTTGAACAATGATATCAGGCCTGTTGCCACTTACGTTTTCCCAGCAGTTGAGGTGGCCAAGATTGCCAATCTCAGTCTCGACAACGCTAACCAAAGAGTCACCGGTTCCCTCACCAAACACAAGCTTCTCGACGTGGGTGGGCTTGATCTTGCGGCGGTGGTTGATAACATCACCACTGGGGTCGATGATAATCTGAGCAATGTAAAGGCTGTTGCCCTCAATCTCAGAGTAGCCCAAAGAGACATAGATCTGAGCCTTGCGGGCAGCAGATCGAATGCGGCGCATCTCGTCAGAGTCAGGCTTCAGACTGTTCTTGTGGTATTCCTTGAGAAGGGGCAGAGAGTCCTGGTAGTTGACACGCCATCCCCAGTAGGTGTATCTATCATTATCCATTAGTTTCAAATTTTAGCAAGTGGTGCTTGGTTTTCAAAGCTCGTACCCGGGAATCCCTATAAAATTCATTAGTAAAAATCCTCTATTTCTGTTGTCTGCTATTTATAGATCAACTTACACAACTCAGGGAAAGCAATGAGTTTACATCCCTTCTCGCCAGCTTCAGTGATGAGCTTGACGGTTTTCTGGACGCACTTCTCCAGGTCAAACCAGCCAGGCTCGGCTTGAACACAGGCAGCTTTGTACTGACGAATAGTGGCAACCATTGTGGCGTTTGGTGTGTGTGACTTTGATGAGGATGTTTCTAAGGTTGGCTGGTTGGGGATGAGTATCGTTTCGAATTAAGAAGATGCCTGGATATCACGACGCTTATATATCACGTCAAAGAGAGCAAATACGCTCATGTTGCAAAAGAATAATCCTAGTATTGACCGCAACTCCATCATTTGCTGCACAAGAATAGGATTCTCCCGTCTCTTCTCCAATCGATTGGCCGTACAAGTCGCAATCAAGATGCCGCATACGCCGCATACGCTCGGCCATCGGAATCTCGGTGATGGTTGCGTATTCTGAGTTGTCGATGCAGTGAGCAGATTGAAAAAACCCTTAGCGAAAAAAAGATGATATCGAACCACCTGGTGGGTTGCATCCGATCCGACCCTCGGTATGGAGATGACATACCCCGGCTCAGCGATCCAATTCCTATCGTACGCTTGTTTTTTTCTTCATGCAGGATATCCACGATGCGGCTGGCAAGGGATGCCTGTGGGCAGGCTCAATTGCCGCTGAACCCTGCATTGTCCCCAGATTGTTGCAACATTGTCGCTCTGGAAAAGAGGATCATCGAGGCCGCAAACGCCGCAGACGCCGCAGTTTCATGCTCAGGCCGCGGGGCCGAGCTTTGAGTGTGGTAGAAAACTGCGCGGCTGTAGATAGGATAAATTCACCATATCACTGCTATCTATGATCTACTAATTGAAGAGTGCTGATATCCAGCTACGGACTGCAATTGAAAGATAGGCTTGATGCAATATGTTCAATTGGACGAGCGCTACTGCCGCTAGGAGGGAGTTGGTTTATCCTTCTCATGCTGAGCCGTGTGTGCATTTCGGTGGATTCTGTCAGGATGGGGATGGGCCAGCAAAAACAGTCCGACAGGCCGACATCCAATATCCACAATGACACCCTCCAATGGGACGATTTCCATGAATGTTACTGTATGATGTCAAGCCATGCCCTGTTGCGGAGACAAGAAGGAAGCGTGAGTGACACTGCAAGGACAAGGTAGACTATATGGCATATATTAATAGACATAGTATATCGCATATGAGTAAGTAGATATGATAGAATTGTACAAAGACAAGGACAAAGTATTTATCACGAGTGCAACCAACTCCTGACTTGCTTAGTAGTATTGCTCTACACAAGGTATAAGGTATAGAGTATGCCGACAGGGCCCCGCTGATTCCCCATGTCATATCATTAATACTCTCTTCCGAAAAATCCCAGGGCGTTTTGATTCGGAACGAAGAGATCCGGTTCTGCGGGCCGCTGGCTAGTGCCGTGTGAAACAAGCGCTTCCTCCCAGTGAGCTGATGGCAAAATGCTTCTCCATGTGATAGAGTATCATCACTCCCCGCTACAACACATACTGTAGCCCTCCCCAGCCACCCGACCTGCCAACGATTGCACCTAGACTCCAGATGTTATCCCTTCATGACTGTGCCAAAAGGCGCGTACTGCCCATGTGACCATCAATATCCCAATCTGCATTGACTCTGTTTCTCAACAACAAAGAGTCCGTGGTATCCCGTACGTAATGCCTCGGCGTCTCTACGCCCTACTATGTAAAGAATCGCCGCCCCTCATGGACTTTGATCGGAAAGGTCGGAGCCTGGTCGGCAGGCTCGCTACCTTCCGTAGCAATATCCACATATTGGAAGCCAATTATTGGGCGAGACGCGATCATCTGGGGATATGGTTGCGAGTTCCGCCAGGCAAAGTCTGAAACGACAAGGGTGTCGTCGAAATTCTCAATCGTCGTCCCGAAGTTTACCGCAAGCCTGGTATTTTGTTGGGAGTATAGAAACAATTCGGATCTGGTCGAGCTGCTAGTATCTGAGAGGAATTTAGCTTCATTTCCAAGCTGTCATGATTCGTCACGCCAATGGTTTCGGTTTTAACGTCTTATTAGATATCACTTGATAGCGATGATGACGATGGCAGAATGGGTAGTGGGATCACGTTGGGCTTGTGATAAGTGGTCAACAGGCGCGGAGTTTTGGCGCAGAATGGTAAATCTGGTTGAATTTTCGTTGCATATAGAGTAGAGGGGTGGGTATTCATGCTTTGATTGTACCTATAATGAAGTCTTGGTCTCATGGGTTGACTTTCATATAGGAGTATGGCAATGATAGGGAAAAGGAAGAGAGACATGGTAGGAAAAAAAAGAACAGCCTTTAATCGCAAATATGGTTGTGAACAAAAGTGAGAATGACGCCATGATTGGATGGCTGGAATAGTATCATCTTTCAGGGCGTCAACTCCCATCCTGACACATCAACATTTCCAGGATATCCCTCCCAGAAGCCCTGGGTGGCATCGGCAAACGACGCCTGCATCGCAGAGTCAATATCAAAATGCGTATCAAAAAGGTCATAATCGGCAGGCGGTACCACGCCAAATTCGTGAGACACAAGCTCCGTCTCCGTCTCCGTCTCATTTGTGCTGATCTCATTCGTATTCGTTTCTTCCTGTTCAGAAACAACCTATCGAATGTGTCAGTGATGGCCGCGAGTGAGGGTGCACCAGTAGAGAAGAACTTACTAAAGTCTCTTCCTCGCTCCCGCTATCGGCAGCTTGAACGGGAGATGGTTGTAAGGCGCCGTAGTCGATGATGGCGTTTCTCATCTCTCGACGCGCACTCGGGCTCATGGCCTGGTTGCCCTTTGATTTGACATTGCTATAGAAGATATGCATTGCCTTGATGGTTTCACGCTAGGAATTAATATCGGTTAGCGATGCTCGCGAGAAGATCAGGGGGCTGGTGTGAAGAGCGGCGACATACCCAGGTATCGGCCATGGGCCAGGCTTGCCTCATGTCCTTGAGGAAAACACATCCGTCGATGATGCGCTGTCTCCAGCTTTCGATCTGCGGGTCGCCTTCACTGACATGGGGGAAATGCCAGAAATAGAGCAGTGTTCCAACTGCCGTGTAGATGGTGAAGCCTATCCACGGAACCAGGCCACGCAAAAAGAAAAGACCAAACCCACGGATATCCTGAAGCATTTCGCACACCTGGTCGGCAACTTTTGCGAGTTCCCTGCAAGAGAACTCGGTCCACTGCTTCCTATCGCCGTTCTCATGCTCTGCCTCTTCGTGCATCTCCAGTTCGGGCAGATAGGATCGATATAGAAATATGACAGACATGAAGTAGATGCAATGCATATAACAGAATGCCTGTCCTTGATTCTGGACACTATGTGCGTGTAGTAGCGCTAGATCATATCGCAGGCGAGGAGGCAACGATTCTCTCCAAGCGTTCAAGCGCAGTAGTAGACGTTGCAATTCCGACTGTGGCTGCCAAGGAGGCGTGTTGTTCGGGTGTGAAGAGCAGGACCATTTTGCAACAGCACCCCAAATATCTGCAACCCCCATGCTGTATGCAACGATGCCCAGGGTGCCGCGTGGGATCATATGACTACCGTCGGATCGATAGCCTTCTATATAGGGACAGATGACCGGTTCGCCGAATATGAAGTTGCTCGTATCACAAGGCAGCTGGATGTGCATGCTATCCGCGGATAGTAACCGCTCGCGGCCTTTGCCGCCGCTCAAAAGGCTGTCCATAAGGAAGCACGTCCATGCCGTACGCCGTCGTTCTTCTCCGTGGATAAACTCTTCTCTATCCAGGGCTGCGACCGGAGGATCTTCGAACAAGCCCATGATCTGAGCCATTCTCACAGCCATTCCGAGGTAAACCCACGCACGTCTGCCTTCGCCCGAGCCCCATGAATGGCCGGTGAGCATGAGAAGAACTTGGATCCGCTGCAAGCTCGGCTCATCTATTGATGGAAGGATGAGAGACCTGGTATGAGCGGCGAAGTAGTTACTCGTCTGAATCTGACTAGAGAAGCCATCTGGCGGGTTTTGAGAGAATCTTGGCCTCAAGTTAGCTTATCCCTCGGGCATGTTAGTATTAGGTGCAAGGGTCATTGTCAACTAACCGCACAGTGATGGCCAGCATCGCCCACGCAACAGACCGGTCCAGAGTCTTATTCCGGATGGATGCGAAGAATGTAGGCATATGGTGAAATGACCACTTATAGGAACACCTGAGATAGCTCTCCTTGACCTCATCAGTCACGTAATCCAAAGGGTCCATCTCCCAAAGGTTGACCTTGGGTTGTTCATCGGGGTCTTCCGCAGTGCCACGCTGAGGCCCTGCGGAGGCTGATAAAAGCGAGGCTGTGATGTTGGCATCCGCCGGCAGAGCACTGGACGCTGCACGAGCCTGGCGCTCAAGCCGCGAGCGCCTAAAGATGAAGGAAGTGCCTTTGGGAGGGAAGATGCATTCATCGCCTCTCTCCTTGCAGCGGATGCATGGCGGTCCACCAGAATGGATGCACTGGATGAATCAGCATGAGCCGCAAACCGCAGCGGGAACGAGATGGCTTTGGTGTTGATTTACTCTTCTCTTCGACGTCCGACATGCGCCGCAAGCAATTGATTTCTTCATCACGGCGGTCTTGAGAAGCTCATTTTTCAACGCGCCTCACTCAGGTTGGTTGTCACGCGGGGCTGAATCGGACCAATGGGAGTCATACAACGAGAGGTTTGCCCAATCTGTATGCCTTTACATGAGACGATCTTTAATACTCGAAACCTGCGAATTGTCCGAATGGCGATTGATGCTGTGTCAATGCGTAAGAGTATGAAGGAGTACGTTGAGAACTTGTTTGTTCCTCCAGCTCACCACGGTCAGAGTCGCCGCCCAGCTTCATAGGCAACTCGGCATCATAGCTGATTAGCTAATCCGCCTAAAAAAACCAACAAAAATGATGAGAGAATTGATGCCTAAGGCAGAATTAATGGTGATTTTCTTAGTCATCCAGCTCGTACGATGTCGGTAGACAAACTCCCGGTGAGAGCTGACAGAAACTGTCCAAATTTCAATTTCCATGACTGTTTTATTCACTTTCCCGCTTCTCTTTCAGATCCATTTCTTATTGGTGATTGCAAAAGTTTTATCTAAATATGGCTGTTTGCAAATACAGTTTTGCTGTACGACCCTATCTGTAGACTCGGCGTTAAACAACGGACAACCAAAACGCTAGGGTAAGTCTCAGAACAGATTCTGTCACTGTTATCAAACAGGCAAGTCTCTCTCAACACCGATTTCACGATGCAAAGTATACTTTATTTGCTTTATTGGGGCACGTGAGATGAAATAAGGTGAAGGTAAGTTGAAATGAGATATCGTCTGTTGATTGAATGAATACTAGAGAAAAGAAGAAAATGCGCCCCTAAAGTTCCCATGCAGAGTCCCCCTTATATTGGATATATTCTTGTCCCCCAAGTCCTATTGACAAATGAAAATCCCAACCGTTAACCCCCCAATCTCCCTTAATATTGAGTGGCATTACACATTATGTTCTTAAAGTGCTTTTAGGTTCCCACTGCTTCAACTTTAAAACTCGTCGTTGACGTTGATAATAGCAGGGGCGGCCAGTGTCGCGGCGGGAACAGCATCAGGGCTGGTGAAGTTGCTGCCGTCGGTCAAAGCAGCGAGGGACAGGCCGAACATGATGTTCTCCTCAAAGGGGAAGAAGGCCTTGAAGGAAACCTTGCCACCGTTCCACTTAAAGTCCTTGACGGGAACGCTGATGGGCAGCAGCTGGCCGCTGAAGTAGGTGACGAAGAGACCATCACCCTTGCCGTTGGCGAACTTGCCGGCGTTCTTGACGGAGCTCAGGTCGGCGCTGTAGTGGAGCCACTGATCATCGGGCTTGACGGCCAGAGCGGCGGAACCACCCTCAACGTTGAGCTGGGTGAAGATGGGGACACCGAGAGAGTTGACGTCAAAGGGGCACGAGTTGGGAACAATAAAGTTGTTGATGAGGAAGGAATAAGCAAACGGGCCGACGCTGGTAGTGAGGAATGGCTTCTCGGAGGGGACGGCGCCGAGGAGAGTTCGGTAAAAGCCATTTTGCTCACCCTCCTGACCAATGATGGAAGCCACGCCTCGTGTGAAACCGGCATCACCAGCTGCGGCAGCGCCCTGAGTGACGTCTTGGAGAGTGCCCAGAACCACTGCGGTAAAAGCTTCAGCCACGGCAATGGCGTCGTGGATGTTGGTGGCCGGGAAGTGGTATTTGCAGGGCAGAGGAGCAAGCTTCTTGAACTTGTTCAGGGCATTGAGTGCGTTGAGTGCGTGGAGCTCTTCTTGCTAAAAGGGGAGGAAACCCAGATATTAGCATGGATCAAGGCAAAAGCGTAATTCGAAAGGCTTAGCCCGGCCTCAACTTACAGCAATGATAACCTTGAGGATCTTCTCCAGCTCGGCCTTGCCATAGCCCTTCCATGACTCGAAGCCGGGAACTTCGGTTGTGACGTTGGCGAGAAGGGACCGGAAGTAGGCGACCTCGAATTCTTCGTTGACGGCGATGACCTGGAGTGACTGAAGGGTGCTGTCGGCAAGTGTGGCTGGCGGAGGAGCATTCGAGAGAGTACCATCGGCAGTCTCCTCGATCGACCTCAGCTGTTGAGCACTGGGAGTGGGGAAGCCATCGGCAGCTGCAGCGGTGGTAGTGCAGTCCTTGCTGTTGGGAGGCCACGTAGCGACAGAAGATCCGGCCAGAGCCAGAGCAGAGGCGAGAACTTTGGTGAGCTTGGCCATCGTTGCTTGTGTTTTGGTTCGTGTGTGTAAGTGGATATTAGTAAGGTGTTGGAGTGGTGTTGTGATGCTGACTTGTGAAAGAGAGAGGTGATGGATGATGATATTCTGACTTGAGATGGGATGACCTAGGAGATAGTTATATACTGGGTGTCCCTTCCACGACCATCAACACTCGCTGCAGGCCAATTTCACTAGGCTCTTACTAGACGGCATCATCTCTGCCATCCCAACAGGCGGACCACTCTGCTTCCGGACGGCATGTGGCTGCTTCCCACAAAAGCCTCTCTAAGCCATCGAGCTACAGCTCCGATTTTAGACTACCTGACCCGGAAGCTAAGATTGCCGATTGCAGTCTGGCAAAAGAGCAGTCAGTCAAAGGCCCAACTACGTTGGTAAGCGGATGACTACTGGCTGCTGACTGCCGTGCTATTTTTGGCCGTTGAGGCTGTGGCCCAAGTTCTTCCCTTTTCTTAGCTAGCCCTGCGAAAGCGTGAACGTGCGCAGCCGCGTCTGGCCTCAGTTCAGGCCTCAAGAAGCGCGCGTTTCTGTCTCCCTGGTGAACAACGCGGCCTGGCGCAGCCGAGAGGACTTTGTTTCACCCAAGAATAAGGTATAAACAAACATGTTTTTGACCGTTGACAGCCGTCAACGTCACTGAAACTTTCGACCCTGTGTATGTTGTAGCGGGGAAAATGATGCTTGAAAGGGCTCACGGATCAGGCTGACGGAGCCCTGGCCAAAGGTCCAACAACAACGGATCGGGCGGCAACTTAGACTCATGTGAAGGAAATGGACGACAACTGTTTGTCCGAGCGAGGCATTAGTTTACTGTGGATTTGGGCGCCAGAAAAATTTGTCATGGGCTTCACTCTTTTTGCTTAAAACAGAGCCCTGTTTATTTTTGACAGCTCTCATGTCCTCTCTCTCTCTCTCTGAGTGCTTGTATTTTGGTGGACGGCCATTCGGCTGCTCAAAGGCTGTGGCGTTTCTCTCCACCATTCTTGTCACTATTTTCAAACTCCTGCGCTAACATGCAAGCGCTCATCCTTCCAGAACCTACAGGTCCTCATTTCAACAGGATTTTCCCTTTCTGGTGGCTGCTTGATAATATTTACCCAAAAGGCGTTGTCAACAGTTTTGTCTCAACAAAAAATACAAGGCTAGCTGTTGAAGCCATCACCAGTAAATGCACACTCCTACGTCGGGAGGACAAGCCGCTTTTTTGGATCCAAAGTAAATGCCCGACAGCAGACTAGAGCTGCATCCGTCGAGCATCCTGCCAGCAACCCGGATGCAACCAAATGTAAAGCACGCCCAATAACTTGTAATTCTAAACCAGTAGATTTGGAGACCGGCTCGGAATGCCCTTGTTTCCGTCACAAGCAAAGAATCCTTGCGGTTAAGCTTTCCGTGGCGCAGTCAGATTCATCTAATTAAATTCCCTGACTCTCCGCGATCTTCCTTCAGGGACTTCCGAGCACTTGGGAATAACTCCGTAGACGGACTTCAATTAGCTAATAGTACATGCGCTCTCCCAGTAATTCTGACACGGCCCTTTGCGGCTGTGGATTGGTGTTCTTTGGTTTATATACCATGGAGAATATTCACCTCTTAAATCATGGCCCTTTGTAAATATTGGCTGCAGGGCATCGCTTATTGATGGGAACCAACCGAACAAGACCACATCATAGCTCTCGCCAGCGCATGAATCACACACTTCGTCTATTTTAGTTTGCATTCGCATATTGCCAGTTGGCCTCGCATATACGGCGTACAAGGAGGCAATTCGTTCATCCATCCATTCGCCAAAAAAGCAATATGTATCGATCTCAACACACTAGGTAGGTTACCGAGCCTTGTGGTGTACCCTTTCCCTTGTTGGGAACTTTTACAAGCATCTCAGATTTTAGTCAGCTTCACGAACAAGCTGTTTCCCCGTGCGCTATTGTCGTCCGTAAGCCGCCACACAGTCGAGCACATTCTTGGTTAGGTTCTTAATCTCAATATCCCCGGCTCGCCCGTCAGGAGTTGAAGACCGGTTGTTAGCTGACCAAATGGTCGTCCCTAAATAGAACACCCAGTGGATTCGCTGGTTGGTTTGCCCGCCCTAATACTTGACAATGGGTACAATCGACGGCTTTCATTCCGAAGTGCAGTCGCTGGTTGGTTGTTGAAATAGCGTTATGAGCCCCCATAGTTTACTTAAAATATGCCATGAACAAAATGACACAATGAACTACATTGCTTGAGGTTAGCGGCAATGGATGGACCTGCTGCAGCGTGTATTCCATCTACAAGAGGCAAGACTCACGGCGGCGGCAGCTCTCAAAGAGTTACTTTGGAGAAATATTAATCCACGCCCAACCATCGTTAAAGCAATAACCTTTCTTGCCTCCATAGCTCCAGGTAGCCTCTGCATTTGGACTCTAATAAATGTGAGCCAGTTGGTATGGTTATTGGCTTTAGCATAATCCTGGACTTTGATGTCATAATTACGTTTTGGGGTTGCAGACATCAACCAGAGTTTAGTTCTATAACAGAATATGTATTGAAACAACACTGTTACCCCGCATGCAGTATATAAAACCGTTTGGCGAACTCTATTTTGCACATCAGTTGTTGCAAATCGCCTGTTCACTGATCCAAACTTGCAGCACAACGTATCACCATGCCGTCAGCTTCTGAGAAGGCGAGAGCAAAGCTCGATGCGGTGTTGAACGACCCGGGCCGATATGATTGCACCCGTAAGGTCATGGACGCAGTCGTACAAAAGAATGCCTAACATGTCTGCATAGAACGGTCGAATCGCGTAGCGACGACACGATATGCTACAGGCTGTGGCGTAGTTAACTCTGTTCCCCGTCGCCCCAGCCAGAGTAGCATAGAAAGCGATCAAGGCGGCGTCAGGAACAGACTGAAACGCCTCATGTCCTTACCCGCGTACTGAAACGAAAAAAAAAGGTCGCAGGAGGAATATTCTTGATATGGATAACAGTCTCGATGGTTGTGAACAGTTTCATATGCCCTAGTCGTGCCATCGAGCAAAGGCTGCCTGTCTATTGGCACGCTCGTACTTTATCTCGTGCCTCCATGGCAAGATTGGAAGATGTACAAATCTTTAGCCTGAATATCTCTCCGAAGAGCATACATGATATGTTTGTGTGTATCTCTGTAGCTGTGAAACAAGCCGATATGTTGGATGTAGTAAAATCTTTTCCTTGGAAATATCTGTACCATTTGCCCAACTTGAGGCTTAGGGAACATAGTTCAATGAACCTCTCGTTGATGACCCAGAGTAGTGTTGATAGATGCGATGACATTTACGATGAGTATAATACTCTGACAACTCGATACGCAGACCACCTCTCCTTCCACGATCGTTCCATGTGGTTGGACGTACAGATGGTTAATGGTACTTATTAATACGGAATAGTGGTCGTATCTGCGTGTAATATAATTGCCAAGTGAATCAGAAAATGCCAAGATTTGTCACAGAGAGCGGTGTAATCCCAGCATGCAACACAAAGAGCATAGTTAATCCCCGCTGTCCAAGAACAATGATGTTACCTTTCTACAATCAGCCACATCTGGGGATCCTGGCGCTCTTGGTTTAAATGTTGAGAAATACAAATATACCAAATATGTCCCCCATCGAAAATCCCAACGGGTTTTTTTAGAACATATTGTGTTGAAAGAGGCTACCACATGGGACCGTTTAGTCAGTGACGAAGAACAAAAGTTAAACCCTGCTTTATTAGGTGATTTAAAAGTCTAATATACAGACAAGTCTAATATACAGACAAAGCCACCGTTGGATGCAAGGAGAGCCATATACTGCTGATCTCACTATGAAGTCACTTTCTCTTCTATAATATTCTGCTCCTTAGCTTTTACAAATTACTAATGACCAGGAGATGCCGGATTCTTCCCAGAGTAGAAACGGTCCAAATCGGTTTGAAGAAAGTCTCACCGGACGCCACCCGGCCCTGCAACTCTAAGAATAAATAAACTCCTCAAAGAAAGTCTCACCGGCAACATCTCTTCCATATAACGCTGCGCAGTCAGTTAGATGTTTGCTTCTGTCGAACAAGCGGGCGTCGTTGGAAGAACTCAGAACTCACCATATGAAGCGTTTGAAGCTCTGGCTGTAGTTGGGCCAACAAATCGTTTGTCTATTGCTATTGAACTAATGCAAGTGCTTAGCCGTGTTCGAGATGTACCTGAATTAACCGTGGCAGTTTCCGAAAGAGATGTGAATCGAGGATACTAACTAGTTGTTTCTCAAGTTCTTCTTGTTGAACATTGGATCATACAGCTTTGATCTTTTTAGAATTGGTAGAATATTGGCTTTTTAACTGAGAGACTCGACACGTAGCGATGCTGCCGACTAGAGTCGGCCATTAACTGTGGCGGCTATCCATCTTGTTTCATTGAGCGGAGCTATGATGAGATAATACCAAGCCAAATTGACTGAGGGTTCATTTTAAGCTTGAAATACTAGATAATGCTTTTCCAGGTTCATACAAATCTCAACGTAATAACACAAGATTATCCACAGAAGGTAGATTCGATTGGCGAGCGGCGAACATGTTACCCTAATATTGCGGATTGTCAAGAACAAGTCTCTACTAAGTACCTAGGCAACTTGAAGACAACTGTAGTACGTTGTGTAGTGACTGAGATACTCATGAAAGGATACATAATCTCCATTTCCCAACATATGGATCTATATGTTATACTGGTGAAATTTAAGATTATCTCCTTTCACTCCGATTACTTGCTATCAAGGCGTAACATTAGACGAAGCATTAGTTGTTCATGGGGATTCTTCATGAATGCTAGACTAGATATGAGCATTTAGGCCGGTTATAGTTTCATGCCAAAGCATACTGCCGAATGCAAAAACACTCAATAAGCACCCATCGACGAACGTAGAGAACCAGATACTCAACCCCTAGTTCAACAAATCTAAAGTTCGGACAAAGTCGGCTTCACTTCTT